TTCATCATTGAACGCAGGACAGACGATGAGGATACTGAAAGGCAATGCCGTATGATGTATATGCAGGCGAATATACTTTTACGTAAGTTTAGTTTCTGTTCAGATGAGGTGAAGGTGTCACTTTTTAAAGCATATTGTACAACACTTTATACTGCTCATCTGTGGTTCAACTATAGAACATCTAGTTTACAGAAGCTGCAAGTAGCTTATAATGATGCAATGAGAATTTTACTAAAGAGACCTAGATGGCATAGTGCAAGTGAAATGTTTGTGAGTGCAAGAGTAATCACTTTTAAAGCACTGTTACGAAATCTTATGTATAGATTTATCTGCCGGCTAAATGCTTCAAAAAATTAGATTATTGTGGGTCTATCAAATATAAGGGTTAGTACTACACGGTATCAGTCAAAGCTGTGGAGACATTGATATTGTTGTATTTTGTAACTTTTTATTGTGGTGGTAGATGCTGTGGGTTGTATATGTTGTCCTATTGTCTTGTTTTTTTATTATTTAATTTTTTTTATTTGTACCTTGAGTCTGTAATAAAGATTGATTGATTAATCTTTCAATAAATAAAAATAAATAAAGGATTTTTTAGCATACACTATTTTTACAGTTTTTCCTATTTTCCCAATTTACCCGAGTTTCCAATTATGTCCAGCAGATGGTAGTGTCGGATCAAACTAAATGCACTAGAAAGCCGTAAGAAACTCCTTTTGCCAGTGTCAAAGAAGGACGTTTCAGGTACAGTAGCTTACTGTATAATAAATCATAGTCCGTGATTTGTTTTACAACTGTGACTTAAAAGAAAGGTTTTTAGGCTGTATGGTGTTTGGGATGGATTTGCATATAATGACATGAGTTAACAGGTTTTTCGACAGGTATGCTTCATTTATTGCCTCATATTAATATCTCATACAGAAAAAAATACCTACAATGTATATCTGTGACATTATTTGACACTTTTTGGTGCAGTCAGGTCTAATAGTACATGACTAACGTTAGCAACACTGACCATCCGTTAATCCAAGTTAGTTTCATCCATAAACTGGGAATGCGCGGCAATGAAATATAACACAACAAAATGCAAAGGAAATTCTTCTTTGGACAGCTTCTACAAAGTTATAAGTGCTCATTTGGCAGTACATAGGAACATTTTCCCTGCTTTAGGTGTTTTATGATGGCTAAAAATGTTTCGAGGTGCTTTAAAATGGGGAGAATAGACTGCATCATCATTAATACATGTCACTGACTCAGTCGTACATATTGTGAATATAGTGAAGTGCAAAAAATCTCCCTTCAGTTCATGTCCCATCAATGCCCTGAAAGAATCCTGATAGGAGAAGGAATGCATGCAGATGAAATGGCTTCTGAAATCACATGACTGTGCAGGTTTTTGCCTTTGTCTTGTGTAGATGTGACATTGAGTCCAGCTCAGGCCTGTTAGATACATGTGAAGTCCTCTTGGTGGCTCTGCTGGACTTGATGCGCTTCACATTCTTGTTGCTTTTACTGATGCAGGCCAGTGTAGCTATGTGAAAAATGTCCCTCACGCTGTTCTCGGACTGCTGCGCTGAGCACTCGATGTAAGGAGCTGAGATCAGCTTAGCCATGTTTGAACCCTAAAGCAAATAGTTAGAAATGACTCAAATACCTGATTTCCAAAAATATAAGAAAACGCATATAAAGCTCTCATCCACCCCCCCCATCCCCCACCCCCCCCAAATGGATATGTATCAAGTAAATGTCAAGTTTAATGTACAAGTATATGATTGTTTGCAACAATAATGATTATTGTTATGGTTTGCAAACTAAGCATCTTAAAGTATAAGCACATGAATATGGTACTATGCATATAATTATAGCCCATCCAACACCAAGGGGTCCTTGGTTAAACATACTTTAGCTACTACTAATCCTATGTTACTTCAAATGCTAAGGATTTAATTGCATTATTTTCTAGTACAAGCTTTTGAAATTGTATGTTGCATCTGTTCTTTTTTCATTGAAGGTATGAAATGTTCTTTAAAAACACACCTGGTCATACGATGAAGGAATGTCATTGGACAGCTGCACAAATGTGGCCAGGTCTGCACGCAGGTCTGACTTGCATCCAACCAAAATTACTTTAGTATTGGGACAGAATTCTTCAATTTCTCCCTTCCACTAAAGGATTTAAAAACATAGTGTTAGATGACAATCATAAAATCATATGTATTTAAAGAAAATTCTGATACATACCTGTGTTCTTATTGTTAACTAAAACTATTAAAAATTGAATTTTTTTGTAATAAAGCAAAATAAAATACAAAATGTGTAAATATTAGATGAAAAACAACATTTTTAAAATCGAAAATTTGAAATGTTGCCTTGATAACTAACTAAAAATAAGTTTAAGCTGAAGTATTTAAATAAAAACTGAAAATAAAAAAATAAAAGCTAAATCAAAATATTAATAAATACTATGGTTGCTTATATATTGCACTGTTATTAAAATAAATGTTATCATAATATCAGTAAAATTGATTGTTCTTCATGACTCCATGACATGATCAGATACTAACACACATTTAGGTTTAAGTATAATTTTTCCTTCTAGCCAGTGGAGAACTCTGGCAGACAGTATAGTGATTGGAGCAGTTCTACAGCATAGAGTTGGCACAGAGCCACAGATCACTATAGTCAGTGGGAGCACCAATGGAGACTGAAGCGCCCCAAAATGGCTAATTCTTTCTCTCTCAAAACCTCTTGCCTCCCAATGACATCAGAGGTTACAAAGCATTCTGTGGCACAAAGGCTCTGTGATTCTGGGACCCAACGTAAACAAGCTCTTAATGGTTGACGTTCTCCCCCTCATGTGATAATCAAAGGATCAAAGTGCTCCCACACATCCCCTTTCTCATTCATTGGACTCTTCTCTCAGATGTCTGGGCTTTTGTTCTCATTACCACAAAGATGGGGCTTGTGAGAATATCCCAACCACAATTCAGAGCTACAACAGTTTAAAACATTCAGCATCGATGAACAGATGTCTTTCAAATCAGCTTACCTTCCTTAGCACATTCTCCAGAGTCTCTGGTCGACCGATATCAAAACAGATGAGAACTGCATCAGTGTCTGGGTAAGAGAGGGGGCGCACGTTGTCATAGTATGGAGACCCTGCAAATAGACACAAAAACACTGTACTAATAAATAAATGATTTCTTAACATAAACTAATACATTTGAGCAATAACAGTACAATGGAACGTATAAGTTGAGCGTGTTACATTTATACAGCTGAATTATTTTAAGGTATGTTGCTATTAGATTTATATGCACACCTTGTATAACCGCTGCAATTAACTCTTATTTATATTATACTTATATTTAATACTTATACTTATATTTTATTTATATTATTTAACTTATTTATATATTCACAATCTATCAAACTGTTCAACAGCATGTATACAATTTTATTATACAATTTTTCTTTATTTTTGTTATAGCTTTCATTTATATATATATATATATATATATATATATTTTTTTTTTTTCACTTCAATTATATTTTGAGTTTTAAAAATGTTATGTGCTTTTGTCATTTTAGGAGTTTTTTTCTCATCTTTTCTTCTATATTTATTAATTTACAGCATGCAGTTGCATAGAACAACATCCCCATAAACTAGTCATTTGACAGTTCAAAGTCTTTAAATAAAGTCTAATAACTAAAAGTCTAAAGTAAATAAGAATTTTCCTTATCTATTTATTGAAAGTGTCACTGTGAGTAAAATCTTCTAAAGACATTGTGTTCGACTGATACTGGTTGATTTTCTGTGGGGGTCCCCGTGCAAGTCACTGTCCCGCTATAGGAAGACAGCACATGTACTCAGGATTCAAGCTCAGTAAATTAGGTTACAGCGCTATTCTGGGAGGTGAGTGTTGAATCTGCTCTAGAAAGTTTGTAGGGCTTGAAATGAGTTCAAACCTCAGATCATTAACCATCATTACTGAAATATTTAAAGGTCTCATTTTGAAATGTCTGTCCAGTCTGATAAAAGGATGGCGAGCAGCTTCATGGTTTCTCACAAAAACATAGATGAGGAGGGAAAAGATGATAACTGTAAATTCAGATTTCATAATATATAAACAGATGTGTCAATCTATAAACAACTGTGTTGAAAGAAATCATGCTACGATCACATACTACCTACATATCTGTAGTTTATTTTGAGAATAGTATTACCTATAACAACATTCATCTGAGTCATTCTAGAAGTGTGGGAGACAAGAGTGAGTCTGCTGTGAGAACATCACCGGCAATCCGTGTTGAGTCTGTATCAACTGGATTGGTCTAGTTTACTGTACACTCTTAAAAAATAAAGCTTACAGTCAACCAAACACAGTTTTACAGCTTGATTTAGTTGAAGAACCACAAAAAACTTCAGACAACCATGCATTCACAGAACAGAGACATTAATATGCTGATAGTGCAACATGAAGAGCTTATATTAAACTTGAACTAAACTCAAGATGTCCCTATAAACTGCTTTTGATAAGAAAAACCTGAAACCAAGCTGAACTAAAACCTCCATTTTTAAAAGTGTATGTTAATAAAATATGAAAATAGTCCTAACACTCACTTTTACATTTTTGCTCCTTCTCCAACCTCATCATCCCACATATTCATGGATTTATGAATTTCATTCACCTATGTATCTTATAAGTCTAACAAGAATCTCTGTAGTCCTCCTCACCCAGTCCCAGTCCCAGTCCACCAGAAGTTCATGGCCTTCAGAAAACTCCATCACACAGCCCACAAAGCCCAAAACCTCATTACAGCTTCTTTAACGACCAATAGCCTACATACATATGTGAATGTGTGTGGAGTTATAGGAGTCCCCAGAGACATCAAATTAGCAACATCAAATGGTTTTTCCTCCTCTTACCTGAAGTATCCCAAAGACTGAGCTCAACTCTCAATGTGTCCACCTCAAAACTGGCTGTGTAGTTCTCAAACACTGTAGGAACATAGTTCTGTGAGAGAAAGAGCAAAAGTTTGATATTTAACTAAACAAAACTAACTCAGGGCTAAAACATAACGCAAGTTTTGCATCCATGACACAAATGACATTAAAAATCGGATTAATGCTGATAGCGGTGACTTTTCTCTACAAACCTCTGGAAAGGAGTCTTTGGCAAAAACATTTAACAAAGACGTCTTCCCACACTGAGTGTCCCCGACCACAACTATTTTACATTTCAAATCGTGATGGTGATCCATCATGGACTAACTGAACCTCATCTCCATTCACTGTCGCTGAACATCCGCCGGTTGACCTCGAGTCTGCAGTCTGTCCATGTTACATGAGAGAAATATTCCAGTACTCTGTTCAAAGTGCTTTAAGTTGTCCTCAGTGTCTTCGGGTTGTGATAAAGGTGAGTTATGAGTAAAGCTGAACCTCGGCTCTCTGAAAAGGCGCGAGGCGCATCCTCTGTGCGCTGGGCTGCTGTGAGAAATAAACCGCTTCAACCGTGTCGCTCTGGAGTCTGAGAAACATCCACATATTTGTGTGTTGAGCGCAGCGCGAGACCGCCCCTCGCATCAGCTCGCATTCCAGCGCTCGAAACAGACCAACGGGATTTTCTGCAGAGCTGTCACACTAGTTAGGCTATATGCATAACTTACGACTGATGTGATCTATTAAACAGCCAGTAGCATAATTATGAAAACCGTTTAACTAATAACTGTTAGTTACACTATCCGTGTGTGGTCCTTAAGTGTTTTGAATACTTTTAAAGAAGCCTGCACCAAGACAACTTTTATTTAATCAAAAATGGCTAATTATTGTGAAATACTATTACAATTTAAAATAACTGTTTTGCATTTATATATATTTTAAAAGTAATTTATTCCTGTGTTGGCAAAGCTAAATTTTCTGCAGCCTTCGGTTTTACTCCAGTCTTCAGTTTCACGTGATCTTTCAGAAATAATCTAACATGCTGATTTTCTTGCTCACTAAATATTTCTTCTTATTATCAATGTTGAAAACAGTTGTGCTGCTTAATATTTGTGTAGATTTATATTATATATTTTATAATTAGGAAAAGAAGAAGAAGCCTTAACTGTGATAAATAAATAACCATATCAATTTATTTATCACATAAATAAATAAATATATTAATTTATTTATCACAGTTAAGGCTTCTTCATCTTTTCCTAATTTCTGCAAATAACTTTCTAAATTGAAATGCTATAATAATTCATGATGACTCAACACTGACATTTCAGTAACAGTCTTGATTTGAAATACTAACCAAATTATAGGATGATGTCTGGTAAAATAGGCCTTTGTTGATAATGATGGTTTTGCACAGACTCATTGGCCAATTTTGGACACACTCATTTTGAATTGTACCAATTTTGAAATGTAAATGATTCTTGGTCTGATTTTTGTGAGTACACATTTTAATACTGTTCTAGGTTATTTAGCAAAATGTGACAAATTTTGCCTGAATTAATGGTAGTCTATCTATCATGATATTCATCAATAGACCCTGAGAAAATGCATGAAAACGTTCAGATATCATTGGAAGTGGAATTCAGAGAGCGGTTTGTAAGAGTGTAATTCTCAAATCACATACTTCAAAAGAGCAGATATGGTAAATTGCAGTCATATACACAATTTTTTGTTTGGATTTTATGTCAAATATCAACAATCACAAAAGCCTCAGTCTAGCTATGATGGTATTTACAACAATGAAATAAAGTTGAAAATGGGTTGAATGTCCTATGATCTTATGATATGTTCTGACCTGATTGTATGATGAATCTGTGCTTCCTAAAGTGTCGTTTTTCCCAAAGAGCAATCACTGTGAGGTCAATACAAGATATTTTAAGAGAAAACAGCCATGGAGGGACTTTTCAAACTTATAGGGAGGGTAAGCTTTTGATGAAATGTGAGAAGAATGTCTTGCGGTTGGTTTGTCCTCTTTTCTCAACAGTTTCGCAATATTGCTGGCTCCACACGCCTGCGTCTTAACACAAAAATCACATGAAACATTTGTTTTTTCTTTTCACTCTGGTGTAAAACATGATCATAATAAGCCGTAACAATGAAATAATTTTCCCTTTTCATTTAACAGAGTCATTTGCACATATTGATTTATACTGTTCTTTTTGTAAACAATATATTTCAATAATAATCTAAACAAATATCGTGTTAATCTCAAATACTTTTTGTTATATGCAAAAAAATAATAGTGAACACCCTCCTGTTTTTGTGTGTCAGCAGCACAACCCAGAGCAGGAATGTTCTCATGTTGGAGAACGGCCAGAGCAAGAAGCTGCTCCATGTCTGAATGAATACTACATCCTCACAGTCAACCAACAAGAACTGTCTCCTTCCTGGATCATTTACAGATCATGATAAATACTTATGAAATGCTTTTAAGAATACTGTACACATATGGAAACACTTGATGATTATTTTTCCACTTCAACTTGTGATTTTACTAATCTTCCGACCTAGATGTTAAAGATGTATTATTCTTTGTCTTCAGAGCAAACCATTATTAGCACAATATTCATTTTTGTTTTATCAAATGCAGCTCTGATCATTGGATACTGTAACAGAACTGCTAGCATGTTCCCATGTGATGAAGAGTATCTGTATTCATGTCTGTCAGCATCACTGTCTATACTGTATGTTTGTGTCATTTCCTTTTCGGTCCCTAGAAACTCTATTGGCCCCAGCTTGTGTAACTTTGTGCTGACTGAACAGAAATACCACATGTGCTTTACACAGACCTGAAAAATCGGAGAGGTAGCGGTCGCTAACTGTGTGGAAACATATGGATCTGATAACACCATTTTTTTTGTAAAAAGTTATTCACAACCCCCGCTGGACCACCGGAATATAGAATAACAAACTGTGTGAGTCTGAGGAATGTGAAAGTTAAACATCAGGCATGGGCCTCTTCTGTTACAAGGCAACTCCTCACCTGATAAAAGAGCTCTCTGATTTTAGTTTCAGTGAGGACTGGAGGGAAAGACTCTGAGATGGAGGCAATTTGCCACAAATCTGCTCTTCCCACCACAGAGACATGAAACAAACTAAGATATCTACAGTATATTAAGTGCAAGGACAGACTAAGAAGGTGTATAATTATTTAGATGGTGACCATGTCACGAGAAAATATGAGTGATTGAAAGTTTGTGGCAAAGCACAGGGTCATCATGTATGTTTTTCTTTCTTTTTTGGAGGGGGGGAGGGGTGTGTGCACATCTTTGTCCCAGATTTGTGCTCAAGGCAAGATAAAACAAAGCCAAAGAAAAAATATCATCATGTAACAGAATTAAATGAAACATTCATTGGAAAAATTTACTTGTATTTCCAGAAGATATGGGTATTTCTGAACCCTGGAAAATAATATAATATATATTATATATATATATATAATAAAAAAAATTACATGTCTTCCAATCTCAACTAAAAAATATCCAGTTTTCCTCATATGCTGCTGTAATCTCAATGTGAGTCAGTGCCAGGGGGTTTAAGAAAACACTGAAAAGATGAAAGCTTTCGATTTGTGGTAAGATAGCACACCTATCACACATCAGAAAACAAGTCTTAGCAACTAAAATCACACCACCACTGGTACCTTTTTTATTCTCCAATAAATGGTTTTTGCCTCTGGCTCCTAGTGTTATGTTGCAATGCACAGAAAGCAGGTATCTCTGAGCCGACCGGTTCATCTAGTGGGAGGGAAACGACTGCATGTGGTGGCTTGTTGTAACTCAGGATGTTTTTTCTTTAAAACCCCAGAGATGAACAATTTCTCATTATTTATGTATATTCCTTATGTGTCTTCTCCACTGCTTGTATCTGAGACTTTTTTTCTCAATAAAGATTGCAAATGTCTTAACTGCTATGCCTGTTTATTAATTCTGCAGTTGAATCATTCTGGAATCTGTCAGCCATTCCAGTCCCTCAGTTACATATTCTTGAGGAACGACAGCTTGGATCAATACTTGGTGTTCTCAAAACACCAATACAGTCCTTCCAATGAGTAACGAAATAAAGTATTCTCCCTGATTCCAAATTACAATTAACAGGAATCAAAGAATAATTATTGAAAATTTGAAATTGTGGAGTATTGAAAATGAAATTATGGAGGACTTCAGTATTTTTTCCCCCCCTCTGTTGAACATAAAAGAAGATAGTTTAAAGAATATTAATAATCAAACAGTTACTGGTAGCCACTGACGTCCATAGTCTTTTTTCCATTTGTGTTCAAATGTAGAAAGAAAGTAATATACGTTTGGAACAATTGAAGGTGAATAAACAATGATAAAATTTTCATTTTTGGTTGAACTATCCTTTAATGATTATGTAATATTGTTGTAGTGTTTGTCTTATTGCCAAGCTGATTGTTTTGCATTATGGAATATTTTTTTTCCCTTACCAGAATGCTTTGTACATACAAACGCAACTGGCACCATCTTGTTTTTCTGTCAAATGATAGATAACTAAACCTGTAAAAATATGAATAAATTAATTAATGATAATGCACTCATTTTTTCACCTTATAATAATTTATTTATGTATGCATCTATTTATACGATTCCCAATGATATTTCCCCCTCCAATATAAAAATGAGGAGAGGTTGGTTTACCCCAATGACTGATCCATTACGAAATGTACAGTTCAACTAAACACATCTTGCGGCCTCATCTTATAAGACAGAAGTTTTCCTGTGCGTTTAACTATGATTAATCCATGCAATTATTAGTGAATGGGACCCACTGTCATGCTATAATGAAAAGGGCCCTCAAACTCCTCCTCAAACTGTTGCAAAAAAGTTGGAAGCACACAGTTCTCTAGATAGAGACTCACTGCTGCCTAGCATGAAGATAAGAGTAGTCTTCACTGGAATTAAGAGGCCTAGCCAAACACATTTATTAAAAAAAAGGGATGACCTCATAAAAACTTAGATTTCACAAGAAATCCTGCCATATTGCAGAATGGCTCTGTCTCTTCCTCATTTCATATAAAACAGAAACACATTTATCTTCAATACAATTTTGATGTAGCCTTGTTGAGAAGCTGTCAGGAACAGAATCATGTGCTGTCACAGGTGGAGACTGATTCATGACTAGTTTTACAGGAGAGGCAATAACTTACCCAAGGAAAAAGACAAAGTCAGAGCCTGAAGATAGACATTTGAATTTTATCGTGATGGTTTTTGATGTTAAGAAATAGATATATGGAGGTAGTGAACAATTTTGCATATTTGAAAACTTGTTTGATTACATGCATATGCTTCACAATAAGGTTATATTCAGGAATATTAATGCTTTTGATATCATGAACTAACAATGAACAACAAATTTGACAGAATTTTCACAGAATTCAAGGTTAATGTTTATAACATATAAATATAAATTTATAACAGTTTCTTCAGCACACACATTTGCCATTAAAAGAACAAGACATCTTAGGACATCTTTTGTGCTTTTATCATGAGAAATAAGACAGCCAAGTGGCCAAGTGCCACTAAAAGACCATTGGGGGAAAACCTGAAGCTACTGTAATTCCATTACACCCCACTGGAGTAAGTGCAGTGCAGCCGTTTTCAACTGTGGCTTTGCTGAGGAGAAGTGTGTGTGTGTGTGTTTGCATATGATTAAAGAGAGTGCATAGCTGTTTGTTAAACGCTTGTATGGAACCCAAGTCTTGAGTCCCAAGAAATGTTTTCTATGTTCTGCTGACATCTGGTGTATCTGAAAGGAATTTCACGGTTGTTCTTGTGTTTGTCCTTTACACGCTGCCGTTGTTACGTTATCAAAAGGTTAAAGAAGACTAGCTTTTAGCAAGCTAACAGCTAACATCAATCTCACAAAATTCAGGTAAGCACAAATAAATTGGTTACATTTGAATATCGTTACTGACTGTCCACAAATAGAGTACCAAATAATACGAAACACAGCAGATTTTCAGCATTTTTCGAGTGATTATTAAATGTAAGCTCAACTTAGTTTAGCCACTGGGCTAATGAGACATGCATAAATATTAAGACGTGTCATTAACTCACACATGAAAAAATACTGTAGTAATTTATAGTAAATACTGTAGTGTTTTTGAACCATACTATAGTAAAGTGTATTTTACTGTATATATTATAGTAGTTACAACACTTTTTAATGAATGCTACAGCATACTGTAGTATTAACTATAGTGAACTGATAAACTGTAATACATACTGTAGTATACTTTAGTAAACTGTAGTGTATTGTAGTATAATATAAAATATAAACTTAGTACAGTATTGGGTAAAGTAATTTGTTTATATTACTATAGTTGTTATATTACCACAGCAACTATAGAATTACCACAACAAATTAATTCAAGTACTTTACTATAGTATGGTTCAAAAACACTATAGTATTTACTATACATTACTATAGTATTTTTTCATGTGGGCTGCTTACTTATATTTCATCTGCTGTTACACGTGCTTCATTTTTAGACAGATGGTTTAGTTTTGTATAGTAGTTATATTTATTTTTAGTATACCTTTAATGCTTTATTGTCCCTTTATGACCTTTATGCTTCTTTTGGTTAAAACAACAGACAGAAGCTGCTTTATTACACCTTGCATGTTTCTAACAATCATGTCGTAATTGTTTAGTCCTCCGCAATAAAAGGAAATGTCTTGGAGTTTCTTTAGAGCTTTACTGGGCTCAACACATTTTTGCTATCATCCATATTTTGTCAGGTGCCTACTAAACATCTGCATTTGTTGTGTAAATAGCAGTTTTTTCCTTTATTTCAATAAGTGTAGTCGTGTGACTACTTTTTCCCACCCAGGTGAACTGTAAACAAGAGAAGCCCAACAGGATGACCAGTGTAAGTGTACTGTAAATCCCAGTTGTACTGAAATCGCTTTGTCTTATGCAAAGTGGATTTAAGTAAATGCAACACAATCTAACATCATATATGAAAAAAAGATTCTTGTTTACATCTTTTGCATTTTTCATGTTTACATCCACTTCATAAACACTATGTATAACTGCACGCTGTTTTGTCAGGTGCTCTGCTGCAGAGCTCGGCTGGTGACGTACCTGCCTGGGCTTCACATTCTAGTTCATCGTGTTGTTGGAGCCAGGACTTTCTCTGGGGCGTCCGGCTCAGATGAGCCACACCTGAACAACACAACCCCTGACACTGGTAAATGAGTGTATTCCTCTGTAGAAGACTAAATCAACTGTTAGCTTCCAGTAAAATAGTTCATGGCAATACCTTTACAAATAGATTTGATTACAGGATATTTGACACAGGGGCTAATAATAACATTTTCTCTTGTATTTCTAGTTGATTGTGTTTTTACAAGGTGTTTTCTAATGATCTGTGTTTGATATTTCTGTGAATAGCACAAAGGACAGTGTGGCCAGACGAGACCATGGGCCCATTCGGACCTCAGGATAAGCGTTTCCAGTTGCCGGGAAATGTGGGTTTTGACTGTCACTTGGAGGGTCCAGCGGAGCAGAGGACTACCCCAATCTACAGCGTGATGCCAGACGTGCTCACTGCTCAGTCCAGCAGTGAGAGGCACGACTTCATCCTGGCCCAGTTAATCAACGAGCTTCATGTATGATGCTTTCAGAGTCATTTTAAATGACAGAATAAATAAATAAGTAGTAAAATAATAACTTTATTATTGGTTGTGAAGCCATTAATGCTTTAAGATCATAATCACTTAACAACATGAATTTGAAAAACAAAAGTAAAGACTGTACAATCATTAATTAAGTTACTTATTTATCTATTTATTTTTGCTCTTGGTTGCTCTTAAGTGTTAGCTCATAATAAATGTAAGCTCATAATATTTGTACTAAAATGTAAATTGTCATGTGACGTAGTGGTGTTTTTGTTCCTACACCACTGCCGAAAGATTTTTTTTCATGTTTTTGAGCGAAGTCTCTTTTGCTAACCAAGGCTGCATTTATTTGATCAAAACTACAGGAAAAGCAGCAATAATGATTAAATATTATTACAATTTAAAATATATATATTTTTAATTTGAATATATTTTAAAATGTAATATATTTCTGTGATGGCAAAGCTGAATTTTCAGCATCATTACTCCAGTCTTCAGTGTTACACGATCTTTCAGAAATCATTCTAATATGCTGATTTGCTACTCAAGAAACATTTCTTATTATTATCAATGTTGGAAACAGTTGTGCTCTTTAATATATTTGTAGAAACCATACATTTTCAGGTCTCTTTAATAAATATAACAAAACCGCAAAAGAATAAAAAGAACAGCAGTTATTTGAAATTTTTGTAATAATGTAAAAGTGTCACTTTTATTAATTTAATGCATTCTTGCTGAAGAAAATATTATTATAGTATTAATTTCTTTTAAAAAAAAAGATCATACTAACCCCAAACTTTTCTCTGTTTCTCTATATGTTTTTTAGGAAAGTGATAAAGCATCCACAGAACAGAACGTGGATAAAGCAGAGCACTTTTTCGATCATTCTATTGTGGAGTGTGCCATTCAGTCTTGCCCTGAATTGTTAAAGAAAGGTCTGTATGTTGCTGTTTTAGAGTATTTGAGTTGATCAGATTTAACATGGACTGAGGTTATTTGCAGTAGGGGTGAGCTCATTTGTAGTGGGTCAATGTAAAATGTGGCCACAAGAGGGTAGCATTTCCATCTGTATTTTAGGCACTGAATGGTATGGTTGTTCTTTATTCCAAAATGTAAAAATGTTATAGTATGTAATTGCTGTACAGATATTTTTCTTTTTATATTCATTAATGTGTGCGTTCCCTGTTCATCATCTAATTCAGATTTTGAGTCCATGTTCCCCGAGGTCCCGTCGACTGGCATGATGGTGGTCACTGTGACTCAACGAACACAGAACGACATGACGGCCTGGACTGAGCAAGTGGACCAGGAGAGAGAAGAGCTGCTTGCTAAAGTGAGTTGATCTAGTTGCTTTAATCTGTTTTGATTCTATAATATAATAATATTATTATAAACATTATGTATAATATAAAATATTATATTATTTCTGTACACACCATGCCAAACTGAAGCTGCTGTCACTTAGTATCAAAGTAGCTCCTGATTAATTAATCATATTTTAGCCCTTGCCTATGGCTTTGCATTGTCCTTGGGCAAAGTTATGTAGCTTTAGTACAATAAAACTCCTTCAGAATGCATGCGTACGAGAGGGAGAACTTTGTGACTCAGCAGTGCCTTCAGCGCTCTGTGTTATTTACTGTCTGCTTCACATCACTGTGGAGTTCCTGTCTACTTGGCGTGGAGCCATGCTGTAGGAATGCTGCAGGCACTGTATTATTCTCAGGCTGTTGTTTGTTTGTGAGCCGCTGCATTCAGAGGAAAGATTTATAGCTAAGCATGTGCCAAAACAATGTAAGCAAAACTGAGTGGAAGCTCCATGGTTAAAGCTATTCATTACAGATGAATGATGAATGAATGGTGAGAGTTGATAATTGTGTTGTATGCAGTTTGTTGAAGGTGCAAAGGAGATATGTCATGCTCTCCGAACAGAAGGATTCTGGGCTGATTTCATAGACCCATCATCTGGACTTGCAGTAAGTCTTATAAATGTCTACTAAAGTTTTGCTGCAATCTGAAAACTTTTCTGTATTTGTAACTGTATTTGTATTGCATTTCTCTCTCCTCAGTTCTTCGGTTCATACACAAACAACACGCTCTTTGAAACGGATGAAAGATATCGCCATTTAGGTTTTCAGATCGAGGACCTGGGCTGTTGTAAAGTGATTCGGCACGTAATGTGGGGGACGCATGTTTTTGTGGGCACACTTTTCACCACAGCGCCACCCAACAGCCAGATCATGAAGAAGCTACAAGGAAACTAAAGTTAATTAGTTAAAGGAAACTATTGGGAACACTATTAATATCAAAATCAAACATCAGCTTTGAGATGATTAGTACAATCAAAAACACATTTACATCCCATTATGCACTTAATGAAGGTGCCCAATGGCTGCTGCTGGAAATGTGTATTTATTTTTGTAGATCAAAAAGCACTTTTGGTGTGACTTTTATTTTGGGTGCGTGTGCTACAGAGGGAAGTTCTGTCACATGTCCAGCATCTTTCAGTCTCTCTCTTCCTATATGTTGCCTTTCTTGTACTACAGACCTCAAAGAAACTAAAATGTGACAGAATATTGTCACGTTAAAAAAAAAAATATTTATAAAAATATTTCCACAACATTGCTCTGTCCAAATCTGTATTTGGTCATTTTTTTTGTCCATACATTATATTTAAAAAGTTTTAGTCGTGATTAAGAGCTTTCAGTTTAATTCAGTATTGTCAGCTTTCTTCATTGCTCCATGATAGGCACAATAAATAATTAATGAGTATCACTGGCTGTAATGTTGGTTTATTGTTTGTGCGAACAGGTTGGAAAAACCATCCATTAATCTAAACGGTGGAGCTACCAAGATATAAGGCCTTAACGACTCAGTAGTGACATGCATTTCAAGTGAGTAGACTTGGTAAATTTAACTAGAGTTAGACTGATAATTGGTTCTTCAACATCAGTGATTTACCTGTCTGGATTTTAGCTGGTCTCTAACCTAAATGGTGGATTTTTTGTCCTTATTAGCCTGAAGCGATCAAAGCTGGCATCTGCTGAGGTCAGTGTCTCAAGGGTGTCATTAGAATTCATTCAAACGCACAACAGATGGACTATAATCATTCTCTTTTAAACTCTGACACTACCATTAGTTTAGACAGTTCTTCACTCGCCATTAGCACATGCCTGTCAGTCAACTGTGCTTTTGAATCATGTAGCCCTTAACAGCTGATCTCTCCTTAATGGAAAGTCACACAAATATTCTATAAAAGCTATAAAGAGTTTATTTATTTAAATATTTTGCATTATATCAGATATGATCATTTGCTTACATTGTTTTTCAGTCCTTCATAGAAAATTTTCATAGTGCATTGAATCATTGAAGTATATACTGTACTATGGTTTTCTTCCCGTGGTAACCAGCATCTAAAGATCTCATTTAAGATATTTAACAAAAATAACCTGTCATTATGTGTGGGGTAATCAAAGTGTGCGGTTGATCAAAGATGGGCTGTGTGTGGATGGTGAAACATGTTTTCGAGACAGCAGTCAT